AAAGAAGTTGAATGAACCTCAAATAGGATAGACGCCCCCCTAAAAAAAATCATCACAACATATCATGAAACTTTCCAAGACAGACAAAGCAGTAGAGTAATTTGAAGAAAGGAAAATGAAAAGTTACAAAGGGGCACTAATAACACTAAGCTTTCATTTCTCAGCAGACAGCCTACAATCGAGGGCAATGATATGACAGAGAAAACCCTGGAGGAGGAAAATGGTCAAGAAGTTTATACCCAGTAAAATTGTACCTTGGATATGAATGAAATTAGGATATTTCCAGATAAACATATTAAAGGAATTTGTAATAACGAGACCAGCTTTGCAAGAAATAGTAATGGGTGTTCTTAGGATGGAGACTGAACAACCGCACACAACAACCTGAGCGTCACCTACATGCTAGCGTTACCCAGAAGTCATCCACATAGAGAATTACCCAAAGTAAAACACCGCAACTATGGAGCTAGAAATCTCAGTTGGTAACTAAGACAATCAGTAAACACAGGGAATAGTGTACTTGTTCCAAATGGACAGAAAGTCAATTTTCAAGTTAGAACAGACTGTCTTAGCTTGGGAAGATATTAATAAATTACAAAGTGTGTTAGTCTGGGTAGACTAGAGAACCAAATTCATTGACATTCATATAAGTGTAAATGCGCTTTATATGAAAGAGTAATTTTATATTAAGAAAACACCCAGTCCAGATCAAGTTCATAGTCCAATATTAGCCCATATGTCCAATACCAGTCTATAAATTGCTTTTCAGACTCACGCAACACATGCAATGATGCTGAATGCAGGAAGATTCACAGGGCAGCGGGTGGAAAGTCTTATGGAAGCATCTCAGCACTGGCACGGCTCTCCAAGTGGCTCCTCCAGCTCCAGGGCTCTGGCTGCCATCAGCGTGGCTATGGCTCCAAGTGGTTTGTCAACAGGAATGTCAAGCAGAAAGAGTGTGTCCCTCTCCCACCTCCAGGGATGAAGACAAATGTTCCCAAAATCCTCAGGAGAAGGCCATGCCCACACAGAGGCACCATTGGCTATGACCTGATTGACAGGCTAGACTCCACCCCATCCCTCAAGTTGACAGGAGATGATGGAACTGCCACACAAGGTAGCATCTTTTTATTTGGATGAGAAAATCAATAAACCATCCAAATTAAAAAAAGAAAATCATAACAAATGTAGTAAACAACAAGAAACAGCAATGAAGACAATGGCAAGAAAACTCAGGAACAAAATTAACTCGGTACCTAAAATTATGTGGGGTAAAGAAATCAGCAGCACAAAAATGCACAGCAAAACGACAGCAATAAAATCATACCTACCAATAATTATACCGAATAGAAATGAATTTAATGCCCCAGTCAAGAGACAAGAACAGAATGGATAAGAAAATAGGACCCATCAATATGCCTTCTACAAGAGACACATCTTAGACACACAAAAATAAAACAAATTGGGCAATGAATGTACAAATGTGCTTTACACAACTGATGTACGAATGGATTGTGATAAGAGTTGTATGAGCCCCTAATAAAAGGATTTTTAAAATAAATAAATAAAAAATTTTAAAAAGTTAACAGCGATTTAAAAAGAGCAGCAGAGTGGCAATATTAATTTCTGACAAAACAGACTTAAAAAAAAAGTCCAAATAAGAGACAAGGATATTCATATTATGATTAAAGGTCAATCGAACCAGAAACATAACCATAGAAAACCCCTATGCACCCTGAAAGAGTCTTAAAATACAGTGAACTCTTACACAATTAAATAGGTAATCAGCAACTCTTATAACAATAGGAGTGCATCTCCAGGAAGATGGAGACCTTAATCCAACATCTCCAACAATTAGAAAGAGCAGCAAAAGAAGTGCCTAGCTGCAAGAAGATAATACAAGGAGTTAACAAGACAAGACCTTGGTTCTTTGAAATAATTAACAAGAGAGTAACCACCCACACATCTAACGAACGAAAATAAAGGAAGATTGAAATAACACGAATAAGAAATTGAATGGGTGATGTCACAACAGAACCAACTGAAATCAAAAGGATAATACTATGAAGAAGTTAAATATATATATACTACGAAGAAGTAGACTCTTAACAAAGTTGAAAACCTAGAAGAAATGGTAAAATGTCTAGAAACATACTACCTACCTAAACTAACACGGACTAAAGTAGAAAACAGGACAGACCCCTATGAACAGAAGAAATTGATCAGGTTATCAAAGGAAAAACTCCGAACCTCGACAACAGAAAGTGGGGCCCAGATGTTCCGGTTTGAATCAGTGACGGCCACTATCATCATGTCTTGACAATTTAGAAGAGTCTCTATTTGGTAACTGGACTGCTAGGATCTAAAAGCGATTCTTTGATTGCAGTCCCAACCCGAGTCCATATTTAAATTACTGATACAGAAGTATTTATACATACTGGCTTTGTGCTTCTCCAACTCAGAGCCCCCCCTATGCACAACAGAACAAAACACTGCCCAGGCCTTCACCACCCTCATGATTATTCTTGTTCGAACCCCTTGTTGCAGCCACTGTGTCCATCCGTCTTGTGCAGGGTCTTCCTCTTTCTTTGCTGACCCTCTACCAACCAGAGGCCTGTACTAATCTCTATGCACTTGTAATTTCCACTCACCCACACCCGGAGGCCACAGCTCCATGACAACACATGAGTTGGCCAGGCTACACTGTGCTTTTGTGCTGCAGGCTTAAAAAAAAAAGAAGAAATCCTGTTTCAATTGGGGGGGGGGGCGTGTACATATAGATGTGAAAACTAAAATAATGTGAAAATTTTCTATTTGATTTTTAATAAATGTTGGAAACAACAACAAAGTCCTTGCATACCTTTGACTGAAGAACTTTAATGTTTTCCATTTATCATTGTAAATTCAAGAACAATTTTATAACTTTTTCACATCAGCAAATCTGGAAAACAAGGGACCATTTTGACAATTGTATCGACTTTTATCCGGAGGTTCTGCTTCAGTAGATTTGGGGGCCCTGGAAGTCGGGGTCCTTAAAAATCTCTTAAAAAAAAAAATCTCGAGTAAAATTGAGAAGTTGCCAGTTTGAGGAACCACTTAATTAGTGTTAAACTCTTTTTGTTTGTTTTTTTCAAGTTTCACATGTTTATTATTCAGTGGGGTCAACAGGACACAGCAACATGATTTCGTGCATTTAGGAGAAAACCATATCCTGGTTACATGGAGCATTGTGCGGATAACTTCTGGAAGGCCTTCAATCTGAGCAGCTTTATGGGGAAACACCTCATTCAGAAGTCAGGGCCTTCTTTCTTCAGTTTACCGTCATCCCTGTTCATAGCGAAGAGCTTATATTGGCCATTGGGACCAAGTTTATTCCATGGTTCTGGGTTGTTCTTTCTGTCCCAACTGGCATCTGGATTAAACCATGCCAGTCGCATGATATACTGTACAGTCAAGCTCCAGTACCTCCAGCTCCAATAAACACGAAGAGAAGGATCAAACTCGCTGCTTCTCGGCCTGACCGAGGGTCTTGAGCAGCACGTTTGCGGCTTTGGCCTCGGGTCTGGAAGGAAAAAACAAATTTGGCAGACCCAGGAGCTAGGACTCTGCACGATGTTTTTGCGGGCGCCCAAAGTCACCAGTTAGTGTTAATCTTAAAATCGCCTTGTCAAAGCTTTATCAGTGGTATTTTTGTGTAACGGGGAGCTCTAGCGGGCAACGCTTTCTTCATTGCTAATGTAAAAAATACAGGGTTAGCTTGGGTCATCACAAGCTCTTGCATGGCCGTCAAATTCCGGTGGAGCTCAGCAGTTGACTTCCGGGGCTAACCAGTAGGCCAATGAAGCGCATTCGCCAAGACCGCTAGGAAGGCCCCACGTGCCAAGGCAGCCTTAGCGAGCTCTGGGGCCAGGCAGTGGGCCGAAGGGCAAGTGCGTCCACGTGGACGTGGCCTGGGGGCGGGGCGCTGCCGCAGACAGGGCTAAACGAATGCGGAAGGACGGAGGGAGGCTTAGCTGGAGTGGTTCCGCCCCGGCACCCTACGCCGGCGTCAGCAGCCCGCGCCGGCG